TCTACTATTTAAAACAATAGACGGTATTTTTTTTTGAGATCGAATGGTCATACCGTAAACATTTCGAAAACATGAACGCTGTTGCCCATTAATTGTATCATCTTCTCCCATCGATGCGATGCTATCAAATTGGTACCATATACACTTTCTAATCGAAATAATTGTTCTAAATCTTGTTGATGTTCAATAATTAATGAATCACTTCTCGGTAATCAACCTTTCAACATTTCTTCACCGCGAACATATATATGGCTTGTGTCAATTACTTTACGTTGTAAGCCTAAAAAATAAAATAGTTTATTGTGCTATAAAAAGAACAAATTCAACACTTATCAACGCCTTGTTTACCTGAACTAATTGAATCAACAGCTCTTTTTAATTTCAATTCGTAAACAGCAGTTACACGATTAGCGTCTGAATTTCTATATGCAACGGGCAAAAATAAATTTTGTAGTGATCTAAACGTAACAATAATTAATCAGTCTATAATTCTCAATAAGACGACCACATATTTTATAAAATATTCGATTATAAGAGATTAATGATCAAGATTTACACACCTAACAGGTGATGGTATTCTTGAATCTCTGGGATAGAAAACAAGACATAAATCTTTGGTTATAACTGATTGTATACAATTTTCAAACTTTAATAGGCTGATATTGTAATAAATATAGAATCTCCCGATGATGTACAACGATTTAGAAGAAGAGAATTATATAATGATGAATCCCATGCAACTTCAAAACGATAGAAGGTCCTACAAATTAAGACACAGAATATAACATCGAATGTAACATGAAAACATAAGTCAATATACCTTTCATCATGTTGTTTTTGTAAATAACGAGCTGAGATAACATTTAACGATAATACATGACCATCAGATTCATCAAATACCGAATCACGTTGACCACGAATACGGCCTGAAGAATGAAAAGTATGATCAGTAGTATCGGTGTCTGAAATGAAATCTTTTATATTTGTTCTTACCCACAACTACTTCTCGAACATCTTTCCATATCAATTCTGATACTGATTCATAACATAGAGTGATGCTGATTCTTCGTTGAATTCCTTGATGTAATAGAAAGCGACCAGAACATGGGACATCATATCAATGATCAACAGTAGCGGCTGCATATCTAGACAAAAAAATGTATCAATTAGTACACACACAAGTCGACGATCAGCTCAGTCTGAAAAGTTGAATCAGATATGCAGTTTTTGCCAGGACTGAATCAAATCTTATTAAAATGAGTAAGTTCATTTAGCTCTGAATCCTGTTGACAAAAGTCGGGCTGAAGTTTCTGGAAAAGACAATTTTGGCGATTTCAAAGCTAATTCCGACTATACAAGAATTAAACATTTGAAGTTGCAGCTCAATTACAATCAAAAGACAAAACTTACGGGATAACATTTTTCTGTGACTTATTCCGACCGCGTAAGCTCGAACCCGTGAAATGTTTTCTTGCCATGAGTCCGTAAAGTTATTTTTTGTCCCGACCTCGTCTGTTTCACGGAATGATACAGACAGACGGGAAGGTCATCAGGTCGCATCGTGCCGTAGAGTCGCCACTGTATCGGCAGATAGACAAACCATAGCATGTAACCCAGTTTCAAACAATACGAATGCTGTGGGGATCTGGAAAAATCCTGCATGAGCTACTGAGATCTGGTGAATCGCCAGATCTTAATCGAAGTGATTTATGCACTTTCCTCAAGTAGATGATTTTTTTTTATTGGTTGTCCAATTAGAAAAAGAAGAGATGATAAAAGAAAGCATGCAGCGTATATAAAAGTTGTCTGTGTTCATTTTAGTGCTGGGTAGTTCTTTATAAATTATCGCATGCAGTCTTTTTATAGAATATTTTCTTTCTTTTTTTCTTCGTATTAAATGTCCTTTTATTTCTGTTTTAGACATAGTTTAAAATTTTAAAAACATTGAACAATTAAAAATTGAAATATTTATTATTTATGTTGACATAATGAGTAAGTATCTTTTTCTTTTTTCGTAATGGCGGATTGGTGGAGATGTAAATAATTGTTTCGCGACCTTGGACGACAAATACTTTTTGAACTTTTTGAAAGTAATGAAAAAAATATAAAACGATCGAGCATAAAAAGTGACTGTTTCCTAATTCACTCAACTGTAGATTGATCTAAAATACTGTTATTGTTATTTGTCCATTTCATGCTGGGTTTTGGTAATTTTAAAATAATGAATTTGCTCACTCGATGTCCGATTTTTCTGAACAAACTTTCATAGAGGTAGCGGCAACATACTCAGGATGATTCCCGAAATTTGTTGACTTACTCCCTTGAAAGGTTATAGAATTTTTCGTAAAAGCTCTAAAAACAGTTTAAAGCGATAAGTGTGTAAAAGTGGAATTTGTGATGTGTATATCTCGATATAGAAAATAGATTAAGAGCTCTTATTTGAATAAGTAGTCGAGGTTGAGCCCTATCTATAGCCTGAGAATGTGCAAAAATAAATGTCACATCTTTGTGAACATATGTAGATATAAATGATGTTCAATGGCATAACGTATTTTCAGGCAAAAGAGATTATGCGAAAGTCTTTGTGCTTGCAAACTTCAGCCATGTTGTACATATGTTCGCACACATGTGACATTTATTTTTGCACATTCTCAGGCTATAGATAGGGCTCAACCTCGACTACTTATTCAAATAAGAGCTCTTAATCTATTTTCTAGATCGAGATATACACATCACAAATTCCACTTTTACAT